CATCACTATTACCAACTATAAGCCCGAAAGCGAACTTATTAGCCTCCTCCACGAAGGGCGGAAAGGCGAAGGGCAAGTCTGGCTCCTCAGTTTCGACAAAAGGGAGCAAGTCGACTGTCGGCAAGAAGGTCTCTTCCAAGGCTGGTTCGAGGTCCAGGCAAGGAAAGGCCAATCGCAAAGGTCTCGCCAAAGGCAGGACCGCCAAAGGCAAGACAGGAGCCAGCAAAAAGGGCAAATCATCTACGAATCGTAAAGGCCTCTCCAAGGGAAGGATCTCTAAAGGCAAAGTAAGAGTCGGCAAGAAGGGCAAGTCTCCTACAAAGTTCAAAGCCGGTACCAAGGCCAAGTCAAAGGCCATGAAGGCGAAGGCGAAGATGATGAGGACCAAGTCGAAAGCAACGAGGGCCAGGGCCAAGCAAGCATCTAAGAATAAGAAGGGAGGCTCAAAGGTGGGAGTCAAGGCCAAGTCTGCCGGTCGTGCAAAGAGCAGCAAGCCAGCTGGCTCGAGGTCCAAAGGCACAACTACGAGGAAGGCGACTCAGGGCAAGAAGGTGGGCGCTTCAAGAAGACCACTGTAAAGAAGACAGCAGCTATGCCTAAAAGTGCATCGAAGAAGGTTACTACAACCAAGGCCGCTCCCAAGGCTGCCTCTAAGAAGCCTCGGTAGAGGATCATCAAGTCCGAATATTGTAAAGATTGTAGACTAGTTGTGGCTATCATTGTCGTCCAATTTTATCATGGATCAAAAGTTTAGTGTCTTGCTAAGTTGAGGGCTGACCTTTCGAGCGCGCAAGGGCTGGAAATTTTGATAGAATCAAAGATGAAATTGGGTTCTATCAAGTACATTCTAATACAAATGTCGAATTACAATACCAGCAAAAGTACAACTCCCTTAAGCCTTAGGCTTGTACTGAACAACCGAGATGGTGCAGTCATCGTGACTGTTGTTCTGGAAGCCATCATCGGAAATGATCTAATGGCGGGTTAGGGCATGTCAACTATCAAAGGCTCTCGACTTACAGTGCTGACGTAGACCTCCTCGGGATAGTGGGGCTCGGCCTCGTTTGCAGTCTAGTCAAGTATGAATATTCAGCTTGCAACTTGTAGGAGACAAACTCACGCTGAGAGGACCGACAGTCCAGGACTTTTCCCAGCAGCTCTTTTCGGGATTATAGTTGGTAATAGTGATGTGGAGGACGGCTTCCTTCTTGAGACCAGTGCCGAATGGCCAGTACCTCTTGCCATCACCCTCGACGGTCATGGGTTGGTGGTCACCCTGGCCCGTGAAGATGACCTGGTTGATGACATCTCCGGTCTTGACATCGACGAGCTGGACGGTAGCTTTTTGCTCCCAGCCGGCAGTGACAACCTTTGATGAGCAGAGTTAGGAGAGATGAAAGCTCAGATGGAATTGGGAACGTACACCAGCGACGTATCCGCGGAAGCCTTTGTGGACGGGAATCTCAACTTTGTTGGTCATTTTGGAATTGCTCTGATTGTGAGGTAAGAGAAAAGATGAAGTGATGGGAGGGCCTGGAGAGAAGAGTATCGTGCAGACTGGGAGTTTTTATAAGCAGCAACTGGTAGTGATCGAGAGGGACGGGCGCTGAGATCAGTCTTGACTTAGCATCTAATGGTAAAATATGTGTTCACCTGCGCCCTAGATTCGCGCGGCCACATGGATGATTGCCACCCCCTGTCAAGGAGTCTGAAAGCGTGCGCTCGCAATAATGGCACCACTTTCGCAATTTTGACTTCCAAAAGAGATGAGGTCTCAATGTAGATTTCTCATTATTGCATGAAGATGTTCGGACAAGCCAGCGCCCCGGATATTGATCTCAAGTGGGGAATCAAACGTATGGATTCTTTGGCATTTTGGGGACTAATTCCGACTGTCTACCAGCAATCAGTAACTTTACACGTTTTAATTCTCAATATGAACGCTTACCGATATCTCGCTTAAAGGAGAAACATTCCGAATTAAGGAAGACATTCAATGTGTGCGTCGTTATAGTCCTCAGGGACGCACGACCTTCAGAAGGAGATAATAGTCATGAACTTCTGACAGTCCAATTCAAGGAGTGTGCCAGATATGTCTATTGGCCGTCGGCAAAGGGACTCGACAGCGGCATATACGAGCCACTTCCTTGGCAAAAAAAGGTCCCCACACTATCGTCGAGACTCATAGCCCTTAGTACCCTATTCCCTACAGTGGTGAAGCCTTGTTCCACCCGGAGGCGAGATGGTACCTGCGCGGAAAATGCAATTCGCGACGTCCAAGACAGATTTTGGGGCATCCGTCCGTCTAGATTCTCTTTTCTGATAGACAAAATGAGGATGTGATTGTGGTGATCGCGCCTCGTTGTTGGCGGAGCATCCCACTTTCCGAACTGGGTGTAGCGCTCAGCAACTCGAGGTTGACAGGCTCTTGAATAATTAACCTCTTGATGGCGGCTTGGCTCGCCCGTAAGTCTATCCAGATGATGGCGGAGTATTCCACTGTCCGAGTTGGGAGACACCTATCAATGGCCTCTGCTTTTCCTGAATAGATCCCTTGTGCCTGGCTGTCAGCGATGCGGGCTGATTGCAAGAATCTATCAGATAGTCTTGACAGTACTCTTCTCGAAATCTTCGACTTTGATCCGTCGAGACGGAGGCAATATACGAACGTTTATGCCCACAGTGACTGTAGCAAAGACAAATACTGCTTTATCTGGGTAGGTTGGGATAGAGAATGATTAACGATTGGTAATTTATTGAGATGTTTTCAATATCTAACGCATCGATTTGCCCTAATACCGACACATCCTCGTAATCGTTCGAAAGGTGCTGCATATGCCCTTTACCGTGACATAGATTCCACGACACGTAGCGAGATCAAAAGACTTTGTCAAACGAAAGCTCAAATAGATCAGTTTAAAGTTTGCCTTTGCCTTTGACAGGACTGAGAATAACAGATGAAGAGAGCCGAGTCACTCTACTCTTTCCATGTTGCTTACTAAGGGGCTCAACTATTCCCCAATCTGAACCAGTGTGCAAGGAAGATTGACTCGAACGATATTTGATTCACTGCTAGTCGGTAAAGAGAAAGTAAGCGACACGGGCCACAGAAAGCCTTGAAGGCAAAGAGAAGAAGGCTCTGGTAGTGTAATGAAAGGGCACCTATGAGTGCTTATTATTCTGAAGAGCATTCAAAAGCTGCGTATAGATGGCTGCTTGCTGTTCAGCCGAGCTATTTCCGTAACTGTATTGGACGAGGATGCGTAGTTTCTTGTCATCCACGTCGCTGAGGTCTGGTTTAGATACTATCAAGCATGCCCCCTGGACAGATTTTGCAATCGAGTTTAGGGCTTGGCTCGTAAACGAGTATTCAAATGTCAGAATATCGAGGCGGTATATGGAACCCGAGGTACCTGTGGAGGTGAACCTGAATATTTGGAAGGTGAATAAAGCTCTTTGAACGTATAAGGCAAGTAAACGAACCAGGAATCAGAGGTCTGGAATGATGCCCCACTCGATCCACCAAGAAGACGCGAGATGCTAGCTTGTATAGCGGCTGCAATTCCTTTTGCAACGTCTCCAGATGCAAACTGAGAGAATTTTTGGTTTATGATGTCGATTATGTCCACTGGATTATCCGTGGTCTGGCAATAAATCAAGTTGTCCTTCGTCATGATTTTATTGATGGGCAGCAGTCCTCCGGAAGACCTCGACGCACTGCAAATTCACAATCAGAATATAAAAAGTAGTAGGAATGAACACGTGGATCTCACACTGCCTCAAAAAACTTGTCCCCCTGGCCCTCGGCCACAGTGAAGAATATGTTGAGGGCATCCTGCGCTTCCTTGTCGGTTTCTCCCCCCTTTTTGGCGGCAGATTCGAGGATTGACGAGATATTACCTCCCATTTCTATGAGATCGCCTCTTGTGGTCCACCTGGCAGAAAAGCGAATCGCCTGAAGAAAGACGTTGAAGTGGCCGCTGCGTCTGCTTCGGTGAGATGCCAACTTGCGGATCCTGGAAGATCACAATATATAGGAGTAGTAGTGATATGGGTGTTTATCCTATTGCACTCTCGGAGATTTCGACTACCCGGTGCTACTCTCAGCTTGATGATCTCGGTTCAAGATCTATAGTGTCTATTCAATGACGATCGATCATAAAGTTGGATTCAAAGGTGATTTGTTCCTTGTAGTCCTCATGGGTATAAGGAGGGAGAGGTGGGAGGAGGCAAAGTGTGCACGCTTGGTCTTTTCTCGACTATGATAGTATACATTGTTATGAACCAGATTATCGCATAGCGTTTTCAGTTAATTAATTCGATAGAATATAGATTACGCCAAACATACAATCTCCAAAAGTTGACTGGTGTTCAGGGGGTTTCGACACAAAGCAAGAGTGGACTTGATCTTTACCAGCGGCTTGCCACAAACGGATACTTTGATGTATATTTCCACGAGAATCATCAGAGATACTACTTGAAACACGGTCAAGGTATCGATACTTTGGTGTGTCGTTCAGACCGAATTCCCTAGTCTGCCACCAACAATACAGCCTTGTGCAATCACAGCCCACTCATCTCAATTTCAGTCTGGATGAAGGACTTTAGCGACCTGGAAAGACCCTGATGAACGTCACAGAGCAGAGTCGTCGGTGGGAAGTAGCACCGCAACACTGCTCTCGAACATCAAGGCCACTGATCTACATTCTACCTTTGCACTGTAATAGCTCGCATGCGTGATATTACCCAAGGTCAATGTATTCCGAAGAACAACCAAGCGACTCGGCGTTGTTGTGGAAATCATAACGACAAGTCAAAGTCGTGGCTGACACAAGAGAGGATTTCGTATATGATCACGTACTGATGGACATACGAATTGAAGCGAGTATGGTCAATAGTTAGCGTGCGAATATGAGTCAATTGAACCGGCTCATCGAGGTGAGAGATCAGCGAACAAGGAAGGTTTTTGATATCCTTTCGGGTATCATTTCCACCGCTATTCCTATCTGCCAATCAACATTTCATGGGTTCTTTTAATTCCTACTGCCTCGGTACGTGTTTTCCAACTCTGCCAGATGCACCTCTTGACAAGCCTTGTTAGTACGGTACATCTTTTCTAAGAACACTGGTTCAAGGGTCAACAAGTCTGCAGCTCCGAAGCGAGTACACAGGACAGCCCCCGCCAAAAAGGCAACTCAATCGGGAAGGAATTCGAATTCCAAGCAGAGGACACAAAGAAGGTGGCATTCAAATCTGCCTTTCCCAAGAAGGCAATCCCAAAGGTCGTTCCCAAGAAAACCGTGGTACCGTCAGACTGAAACTATCCCCAGACGTGAAATTTTGGTGAAAAATCGTTTGTAAATAGACTGGGAATCTATTTAACTAGTTATGTCATTGTCCCATTGAACATTGCAGAAGAGCCCGATTTACTGGTACTACCATCAGGTGAACCAATCGGTTCGGGCCCCTGTGTAGCTGAAATCGAGCGCAGGCGGTGAGTGGGGCCAAGTAAAAGATCTGTCGTCGAGGATACAGCCTAAATAATTCATTTCAGAACTGAAATTGTAGATATCTATACAAAGTTTACGCGCGGTTGAATGGCCCGTGATCGTGGGTCGGAGGCAGCACAGCGTGCATCGTTTGTTCCTTGACCCTAGCGCGCATCCCAGCCGCCATAGCGGTCGACGAGGATCGCTGAAGCAACATACCTAGCGCATTTATGGGGATATAAAATGACTCTAAATTCCATTTGCGAGTCGTATAATCGACTGTAGGAGAAAATACGGATGAGATCCATGTGAGTTTATTCGTGACGCTTACGCCGGTCACTGATACCCGTCCAGTGCATCGGACTAGAAATTGTGGCGCGCGAATGGGAACACTACTGCGGCTGATCCGGGGCTCTCCAAACCCTTTTAAGCTGCCTCTGCGGCTTTCCAAAATCCTCAGAGCACTTTTTGCCCTCTTTCTTCTTCGTCGACCGGTCGACTTTTTCTTTCTTTCTATTTTCTTTCTTTCGGGGTTGGCGTCTTGGACGGCCATCGTCGAGTCCTTCATCTTGGTCATGGTATCTTTGATCGCGGCATGATTGTTACGCCAGTTGTCGCCAAACGCGGCCTTCATACGCGCAGATTCGACGCTGTCTGATCCTTCACCATCAGCATACGCCTTGTCGATGGTTTGCTGCATATTGCCCATGATCCTGTCGGCTATTGACGGTGGATTGTCAGCGGAAATATCGAATAGAGACAGGTCTTACCTTCTTGGCCAGCCTTTTGGATACGTTCCGCATTCTCAGTGAGTTTGCCATCAGTGGTGATGGGACCACCGTTAGCGCTATCACCGTTGATCACCAAGTCAAACGGGACGGGGATAGCTTGAGCCACTATGATTACCGGTGAGCTTTCGACACCGTCTCCAAAGGACTACTCACCATTTGCAGCCAGAATGAGAGCTAAAAAAGTATAAAGATGCATTATAAAAAGGTGCCGGCACCTATTTCGAATCGTTAGTCGAACCCATAACACCCGCGAGGCATACGTACAGAAGAAAGAAAAGTAGAAAGAGAGAAAGAAAAAGTCGACCGGTCGACGAAGAAGAAAGAGGGCAAAAGTGCTCTGAGGAGTTCGGAGAGACGTAGAGGGGGTTTAAAAGCTCGGATGAGCCGCGGTAGTGTTCTCATTCGCGCGCCACAATTTCTAGTCCGATGCACTGGACGGGTATCAGTCACCGGCATATGCGTCATGAATACATAGATCTCAACTACAACATCCGTATTTCTCCTACAGTTGATTAAACAACTTGCAAATGGAATTCAAAGTCGTTTTATATCTCCGTCAATGCGCTAGGTATGTTGCTTCAGCGATCCTCGTCGAGCGCTATGGGGGCTGGGAGGCATCCAGGGTCGAGAAACAAACAACGCGCCCGCTGCCTCCAACCCATCAATCAATCGGGCGCGGGATTTGTATCGATACCTACAACTTCAACCCTGAAATGAGTTCTTGACTGTATCCTCGATGAAAGAGCTTTCACTTGGCTCGGCTCACCGCCTGGGTTAGGTTTCACCTATACAGGGCCGACTGGTTCACCCAACGGTAAATCGCACTCTTCTACCAATGTACAATGTAAGCATGAAATTGACTGGTTTAGACATAAATCACCGATTTACCGACTATTTACAAACGTTTTCACTGAGGTTTCGTGCCAGAGGATAGTTTCGGTCTGACGATACCGTGTCTTTCTTGGGAACAATTCGGAATTGCCTTCTTGGGAACGGCACATTTGTACATCATCTTGCTTTGTGTCTTCTGCT